ATATTTCAGAGATATGAATCACGTTAAAAATATAGGAGAGACAAATTATATATATTCTTAAAAATATACCTCAGCAACTGGGGACATCAACATCCTGCTGATGTCCTTCGTCCCCAGGATGACTCCCATCCTAGAAGTAGAGTTTTTAAGCTTTCTTGGCAGCACTCTTGTATTATAGTTCTACTGAGACTTTCTGGGTTTGTCTTTGCCCATCATTAAAATGAGCTGCACAGCATCGTGACAGCTTAAATTTGTCTCTCCTATATTTTTAACGTGATTCATATCTCTGAAATATCAAATATAATCTGAATTCACTCTCTGCAGCTCAGGAAAAGGATGAAAAAAAGTCAGACTATAGTTGTGACATCTATGTCAGGGGTGTGAAACACAGTTTTAAAAGGAGGCCAAAATTAAAACCTTGGCCTCGGGCCAATTTCAATGGATACATTAGCTAGTCAGGTCACCGACATCTTTTCTTGGCTGCAGGTTCATCAACAAGACTTTTTTGTCCCATTTGACATTCTCTGTTGCTCTTCCACATCAAAATCAAAAGTTGTTGGAAAATCCAACCTTTACTATAACTTCCAAGTTAGCCAGCTGTCATGAACTTTGCACTTAATGAAGTATTCTCAGTTCTTTTTTATGCAAAATGACAAACAATTCAAATATTTTACATTTAAAATATTATCTTGGGGGGGTGCAGATAAGATGTTAATAAGGGCCAGATGTGGACCTTGACATTGAGATGTGATCCAGAATAATAAGGCATTTTCAAAAAGTTTGAAAATCACAATAACAAACTACAGACATAGCATTAGCCTGCTGTTTCGGCTACAATGCATTATTTTCTAGCATTATTTCCCCAATAAAGTGTGGCACACTTCTAGAGCAGTAATAATAATAATAATAATAATAATGATAATAATGGAATTAAAAAAATAAAAAATAGTTAAAACTCCAAAATGGCTGAATTACATTAAATGGCACTCCAAGAGGAAGAAGTAGACACATTGAACAATTGTTGGACGTGTGCTTAGATTTTTCTGTGTGTTTTCTGGTGACAGTATCAAACCAGGAGCCAGCATATTGTGAGGTCCAAACCAGTCATGAGTCAGGACCAATCAGAGTCCACCACACGGCGAGCGCTCGTCTATGGGATCCAGGATGATAATGGCACTAACATCCAGAACTTTGCCCTCGATTTGACCCCCCCTCCAGATGTGTTGATACACACTCGTGAAGGAACCAGTGATGGAATGAACGTCCTTGGAATTGTCATTTTTTCAGCCACTATGGGTAAATAATCTTTACAATTGTAGTTTTTCCCACTGAATTATGTTAAATGCCTTGATGTAAGTTATTATGCTTTAATCTAAGGTTTTAAAGGCTGTTCTGTGTTCTGACAGGTATTATGTTGGGAAGGATGGGACCAAATGGAAGCGCCTTAGTAAACTTTTGCCAAAGCTTGAATGAGGCTGTTCTTAGGATTGTTGCCATTGTTATATGGTAAGGCTTCTACTGAAAATATGTTTTACTTGTGAATGTTATTTTTACAGGGGGCCAAAAATCATCGCCATGTTGTCGACATAAAACAATCGGTTGTTTTATTTAAAATTTGTTTTCTATAGTAATAAAAGCTGCTTATCATAAATCTCTTACTTTCTTTGGTAATTATGAAATATACTTAAACAAGAATTAAATGAGAAAAAGATAAAGTCAAGAGCCACGAGGACAAAATTAAACTGAAGACCAAGCATTCCCTGCAGGGATGCACATTGCTTGCCACTTTTTGTGCAACTGTTATAGATTTTTATGTTGACTAAGGTCCAATAATGCCAAAGTTTTAAGCAAAAATATTGTGCAATGTGAAGTTATTGAAGTATGTGTTGGGGATAAAGCTCAGCCACTAACATACGTATTTTTGCTCATCATATGTAAAATATTGTGCTTTGCTTGTTCCACTTGTGCATGGATTTTCTCCAGGTACTCTGGTTTCCACTAACTGAACAAAAATGTCTGTTAGGTTAACAAACATCTTTAAATAACCACTAGGTGTGAAATATTGTTTATCTTTGTGGCCCAGTGATGGACTACCAACTTGTTTTCATCAAATGACCAATGGAGATCAGCACCAGCTTCCTGCACTTTTCTGTGTAGAAAAGTGGATGAAGAAGATGGACGGAAGGCAGTGGTGGGATGAACAGTTTACACCTAGACCTTCAGTGGTGTCCTGCCTGAATTTATCCACCGCCACTATGACGCCACAGCTACAGTAACCAATATACAGAAACACGATTCAACAAGTTTCCTTCAGCTGCAGCCACAGCTGCACCACATACTGATTTACTAAAAGCATCAATATGGACATCATAAATTGGGGAAAAAAAGAATAAAATGCATTTTTCTCACCAAAAGTTTTTATTATCTGTACACAATCTCCATCCTCCCTTTCCTCAGTCAGAGTTCAGTTCCTCTGTCCTACAGGTCATCATGGTGTTTCTGTTTCAACAATAAGTCCTTTTCTGTCGCTATGGAAGCTAACTCTGAAAGTCCAGTCTGTTCTGTCGTGCTTCTAGCAGAAGTTTTAATTTGGTTTAGGGCTGAGAATGTTCACCCAACATTTAGCTTGTGCAGGTTGCTACAGATGAGTCCTAGCTCTGACCAGTAAGCTCTCTGACCGTCCAATCAAACGACGTGAAAATGCTGATGTTGTCGAATGCCTGCTGGAAGACCCCGTGGTCACCAACTCAAAATCTGATTGGTTAAAGCAACATTTATTTTAACCTGCAGGTGCCTGCACTGCTGGTTCTGAAGGCCTCGAGATGGATTTCTTTGACCCTAGCAAATGATGATGCTTGAAATATGATTATAAATATAGTATAGGATAAAAGCTCTATATAAACACATGCTGCTGGAAGCTGCACAAACAGGAGAAAAGCTGTGAAATGAAGAGATCAGTCAAACTGGAATAACTTAATAAACATTATTTAATAGAAAAAAAATGTTAAAACGTTAAGTTAGTGATTCCCAGCGTTTATACCAGCAGAAAATTGTATACTTTAGTGAATAAGTCACAATTCAGGAGTTATCTGTATTTATCTGCAATCAGTTGATGTCTGATATAGGTAATCTATAATTCTTATTGAGGAGAGAATTGCTTAAAACACCAGAATACTTCCTTTGGTTTACACAGGTGGCATTTACTAAACCACACGACTATAAACCAAACTAAGTCAACAAACACTCAAGAAAATATAGAAACTTGTAAGAATAAAAATAAAATAAAATAAAAAAATTAATCTTACCCAATCAGTTAGTTCAGTTTTGAGTCTTTCAGTGTCTTTGTTCTCTGCCTCTGCCAACCCACTCAAGTTGAGTAAAACCTTTAATTTAATTCAGTTTATTTACATTTATAGTGCCATTTCAGAACAAATGTCATCTCAGGGCACTATTTAAAAAATGTCAAATGTCTAAATCATAAATCCAATTCAGTCCAAAACAGTTACAGTAAATTCATTCAAAATATTGAAAAAATAAATTCACATACAGAACATGTGCAAAGGCCACTTAATAATATCCCATAAGACCCCACCCCAAGCAGCACACTGGAGACAGATGACTACCTTTAAACAGTAAAATACCTCCAGAAAGACCAGACTATGGTTCTATGGTCAACCATCTTCCTCGACTGCGTTTGAGAGGACAGGTCTGAGACAAACAGAGGATTGGTTCAGGTTTAGTTTCTATGGGAAGAAAAACACAAAGTGGTTGGCAACATTAACTGCATGTATGAACAAGGAGAGCGAGTAAAGACAGCAGCAGAGGGAGGAGCAGTGGTCAGTTTGTCCTCCTGCAGTGTAAGCCTATAGCAGCAGAACTAAGGGATGGTTCAGGAAACCCAAGCCGACTGCAACTATAGGATTTGTCAAAAAGGAAAGACTTGAGCCTAGTTTTAAAACTGGACAATGTGCCAGCCTCATGGACAGAAACTGGAAGGTTCCACAAGAGAGGAACGTGATAACTGAAAGATCTTCCTCCCACTCTACTTTTGGAAACTCTAGGAACCACAAGTAAACCTGCAAACTGAGAGCAAAGTGCTCTGTTAGGAAGGTATGGAAAATAAGGTCTGTAATATAATATGGAGCTAGGTTGTTGAGAGTTTTGTAGGTTAGAAGTAAGATTTTGAATTCTATTCTGGACTTGACAGGGAGCCAATGGAGAGAAACTAAAACTGGAGAGATATGATCTCTCCTACTAACTCGGGTTAAGACTATTTTTTTCTGCATAATTTTGGAACAAAATGTTTATAATTTTAAGAATTTTGTTCAGGTGGAAGAAAGCGGTGTTGGTAACATTTTTAATGTGGGGGCTGAAAGATGTTTTCTGATCAAAAATCACACAAAAGTTCTTTACATTAGTACTGGAGGTCAACTTAAAACCATCTAGAGTGAGAGGAAGACCACCCAGCTTGTTTCTATGATGCTCAGGTCTAAAAACTATGACTTGAATGTCTTTGAAAATTGGACAATACAAATAAAAAATCCCAAATGTGCTTCAAGAAACATGTATGCATGTAAGGAAAGTGTGCAGAGTTTTACCTTCTTAATCAAACGGTCTGATTTTGATTGTGACTGATCTCATCCTCTCAGGTACTTCCCTTTCGGCATCGTTTTCCTGGTGGCTGGTAAGATCCTTGAGATGAGTGATCCCTCGGCCATGGGGAAGAAGTTGGGTTTCTATGCCATCACCGTGGTGTTTGGGTTGGTGTTGCATGGCCTGTTTATCCTGCCTGCCATGTACTTCTTTATCACCAAAAAGAGTCCCATTGTTTACATACGAGGAATCCTGCAAGCCCTGCTTATTGCCCTGGCAACTTCCTCCAGGTAAAACTATTTTTATAGAGATTCTTACATTTCTGAGTTAGTGTTTGCTGTAGTGATAGGCCACAGTTGGTCACAGTGTGTGCTTTTCTTGCATGCTATTTCTTTTATTTAAAAAAAAAAAATTGTATTTTGTTTCATCATCTCATCATTCTGTTTTTGCCTTTAAAACCATAAAATAAATTCACTTGTGTGCGTCAGTGTGAAATCAGTGGCTGTATTTTTGTACCAATTTATTAATGTAATATTCTGACCTTTATGTCTTTTTCAGTTCTGCCACTTTGCCTATAACTTTCAAGTGCCTCTTAGAGAACAATCACATCGACCGTCGCATTATACGATTTGTGCTCCCTGTGGGCGCCACTATCAACATGGATGGCACTGCTCTTTATGAGGCTGTGGCAGCCATTTTCATTGCACAAGTTAATAATTATGAACTGGATTTTGGACAAATCATCACCATCAGGTCAGTATCACCTCTGCTTTTTAAGCTAATTTAAATGTAACTCATGTCCCCCAAAAAGTTGAGATGTTGTATAAAGTGTAAAATAAAACCAGAATGCGATGATTTGCAAATTCTCATAAACACATGTTTTATTCACAATGGAACATAGTAAACATATCAAAAATATTTTAACTAAGTAATTGTATAATTTCTTGAAAATAATGTGATAATTTTGAATTTGATGGCCGCAACACACCTCAGAGGAAATGGGATAACATCATGTGAAGAATCCCCTCGTCTATAGTCGGTGAACTTTTATTAGGATTCAGAGGAGACCAGCTGCTGGAGGTGTTGGAGGGGAATTTTGTCCCATTCTTGTCTTATGTTGGACTCCTTGTTCTTTATGCTATGGTAGTTTATTTTTTTATTTATGATGCAACAAATGTTTTCAGTTGGTGAAAAGTCTGGACTTCAGGCAGACCACTTCAGAACCTGGACCTTTCTACTATGAAGCCAGGAAGGAAATTGATGCTGTGTGTGGTTTAGCATCATCTTGCAGAAATATGAAAGGCCTTTCCTAAAAAAAAACATGTCTGGATGGGAGCATATGTTGTTCTAAAACCTGCAAATATTGTTCTGCATTGATAGTGTTTTACTGAGAATGTAAGCTCCCCATGCCAAAGGCACTAATGCAACCCCATACCATCAGAGAAGTAAGCTTTTGAGCTGTGTGCTGATAACCAGATGGATGGTTCTTCTTCTCTTTACTATAAAAATGTAGTGTCCCTGATTTCCAAAAATCTAAATAAATTCAATTAATTTTATTCATATGGTGATAAGTCCCAACAGAAGTCATCCCAGGGCACTTCACAAAAACATTCACATACATTATAAAAGCTAATTAGTAAAAGTGATCTAGGAAATCAGCAGTGTCATATATGTTCTCCATGTTCTCCTTTCATGATTTGTTCTATTTTGGTCCTTTGGTTCTGTTGTGTTTTCTCTTGTGTCTTTATTCAGCCCTTTGTGTTCCCTGTGCCAGTCCTCACACCCACCATCAGTCAGCCTCACCAGTTCAGCCAGTTATTACTCACACCAGTTCCTAATTAACAATCATCCCAGGTGTTTTCATTTCCCACCCATCCTCAGTTCTATTTAAAACACTTCTGATTATCCAACATTTTTCAGTCAGGTCATCTGGACAGTTTCTTTTTTTTGTGCTGAAACGTTTCGCCTTTGGTCCGGAAGGCTTCATCAGTCAAGGAAACACAACAAAACTGATTCTTCCCCCAACAGCTCAGTTTTGTTGTGTTTCCTTGACTGATGAAGTCTTCTGGATAGAAGGCGAATGTCAGGGTTTGGGGGACAAGAACGAACCCAGTAGCGCAGACAGGACTCAACTCGGCAGATTACAAAACCAAATACTTTAATGATGAAAAAAGGTAACAAAACAATAAGCTGACGTGGCAGCAACACTTACATAAACTAGACGACTCTGGAGGGATACTCAAACGGGACTCAGAAAGCTCAGGAAACTCAGGAGACACAGGAGAACACTGAAGACCCAAACGAATACGACCCGACAAAGGAACAACACAGAACAGGAGGCTTATATACAAGGACGAGACAAGACGTGATTACAACAGGTGTGACGAGACAAAGGTGGCAACAATTAAACTGACGAGGAAACACTAGGGAAACACAGACACAAACAGAAACAGCAAATGGTACCATCCTTACAGCGAAACGTTTCAGCACAAAAAAAAGAAACTGTCCAGATGACTTGACTGAAAAATGTTGGATTTTATACCTGGATTATTGAGCATGGACTTTGTTGTTTTCAACCAGTTTGACAAGACTGTCAACAAGGAAGAGGGCCGGCAATGGAGGAGGGTCGTACCAAAAAGACCATCTTATCACAAGCAGAACTGGTTTGTTCCACTTTGGAGTAAGCTGTTGGGGGAAGAATCAGTTTTGTTGTGTGTTTCCTTGACTGATGAAGCCTTCTGGACGGAAGGCGAAATGTTTCAGCACAAAAAAAAAGAAACTGTCCAGATGACCTGACTGAAAAATGTTGGATTGTATACCTGGATTATTGAGCATGGACTTTGTTGACCTCTGATTCCCACCCATTTCACCGTCAGCTCATTGTTCTTGGAAACCCGTCAGATGTCTCGTTCCTTCCTGTGCTCCTTGTGTTTTTGTGCTCCTGAGGGCTGTAAGTTTATTGCTGCCAAGTCAGCTTTTAGTTTTTGCTTATTGTTAAAATAAGTTTTTAGTTGACTTTGTGCTCCCTGTGTCTGCCTGAACCTGGGTCAAACCCCCAACCGTGATAAGCAGATTGCATTGAATCTTCACTTTGTCGTAGTCTCCCATCCTGAGCAAACGCAAAGGCAACAGTGGAAAGGAAAAACTCCCTTTTAACAAGAAGAAACCTCCAGCAGAACCAGGCTCAGGACAAGCGGCCATCTGCTTCGACTGGCTAGGGTTAGAGAGGACAGGAAGGAGAAACAGATAGACACAGAATGACAGGTCCAGATGTACTTTCTTTTGGAGGAAAGTAAAAAATGTTAATGGCATAAATAATTACAAATACACCAGGTAGAGTAGACCAAGTAAAGACAACAGCAGAGTGAGGAAATGTGGTCAGTTTCTCCTCAGGCAGTCTATGCCCTGTTTCCATCCTGAGTGAATCCCCCTCCATCTAAATGATGATATTGGGCGTCCTGAGTTTTATGCAAACAAAACCATGATCATACCCACTTAGGCTGGGTTTGAGAAAGTCTCGTCCAGACTAACAACCTTCAGCCACAGGACACACCCTTATCTCACCCCTCACAGTTCGTCAGATCAAGTAGCTGTGACCCACACGTCTACCGTGAGGAGCCCCATATTATTGGTTGCTCTTTCTCTCTTGACGTATTGCAGTTGGTATCAGGTCAGGTTATTTTTGGTGTCTAGGCTCAAAAAAACACCAGGATGTTGTTTCAATAAAACTCGCAGCTAAGTAACCTTTTAAAAACATCCTATAGTAAACGTAGAACCAATCACTCCTCTATTTCATTGTCTTGTGACCAAGCATGTACATTTATCAGATGGAATACGATGAAAAAAGTCCAACACCATATACTCGTTTCTCATGCTTTTTGCTTCTTTACTCAAAAAATTTGTGTCAGGATACATTCGTGGTTTCAGAAATGCAGCAGCAAAACAATTGCATGAATCATAAAGTAGATAAAATAACAAGAAAATATACAAATATTAAGAATAAAATCCAACCTCCCTCCATGAGAAAATATACAACTCTAAATTAAACTTCCCTGTCAACTCTGCTGCCTTACCCTGAAAACCACAGTTGTCATAATTAACCCTTTTTGATTTTTTTGCTATGATAGAGAGACTCGGATAAGTCTTACCTCACACTTCATGGCAGATTAACCTTTCAGTGGAAAAGAGGTAGAAGTTGCCCCAGAATAATGTAGGATATGTTGCTGAAATGACATTAGTATGATCCTTGCCAATTCGAAACTTGACCTTTGGAGATCTGGAGTTAGACACCGAACGGAGAGCTCCTTCTTAGCTGGACCCAGGCAAAATCCTTCTGGCTGGATTCCACTCTTCAAATCTTGATCAAGTTCTTCTGACTGCTGTCAGCATATCTCTCCACCCGGTCTTCTTGTCTTCAGAGTCCCCATTGTTAGAACATGTCATGGAGCTGTTGTAGTTTTGACCTAATAAATATGCAGTCATGTATGGTGAAAATGCAGTTCTTGAGGTATAATACTGTCTCCATGAGTTTAGGACAATAACAAGTACCTTTATGAGGGGCTTTTATTTAATTTACTGTATTAAATTATTCATCCAAGCCTAACTTCTATGAAAAAAAAAATACATGTTTGCAATGAAGTCACACTAACCTTCCAAATCTCTCTCAGCATCACAGCTACTGCAGCCAGTATTGGTGCAGCTGGCATCCCACAAGCTGGACTGGTCACCATGGTTATCGTGCTAACATCTGTTGGACTGCCAACTGATGACATCACCCTCATCATTGCAGTGGACTGGGCACTGTATGTTGGACTTTATTCAACCTTAATTATTAGAACCAAGCTATCCACAACAGAACACAAACTCATTTTTGTTTCAGCTGTGTTTTTGACCTTAAAGGCAGCACGTCCTAAAAAAATGTGTCTCTCTGTGTTCTCCAGAGACAGATTCCGCACCATGGTAAATGTGATGGGTGATGCTTTGGCCACAGGCATAATGGCACATATTTGCAGGAAAGACTTCATGAAGGAGGGAGATGGGGTGAGTTCTAATTAATGCTTCAAGTAAATAGGTTTCAGTTACATTTTGTAACTTATAAGATGATTTAAATGGCTTCATGGAGCGGTCAGTGTCACCTTTTCCACTGAAAAGATAGAACTTATAAAGGTGATTTGTTCTTTACCTGTACCTATTGGAACACGCGTCTCTCTTCCAAATTCCCTCTTCTGTGTGTGTGTGTGTGTGTGTGTAT